AGAAAGAAGTTGGTAGCTTGAGCTTTCATAGACTTAAGTCTACTTCCTCAGATAGTGCAGACCAAATGCATCCAAGGAAGTTAAGCCTACCAAAGCTCATGCAGCCAACTTCTTTCTTTCAATCTCAAAGGTGCTACAAGATCTCTCTACATGCTATCTCCTCATTGGTCACACAGGCAAGCCTACCCTCTCTAAAAGCAGCAGCACACTCAGCAGCCTGTCCATGAAGCTCCTGTATGGAAGTTTGACACAAATAGTGTCTAACTGCAGTGGCTCTAAAGATAGGTCTTCCTTTTCCCCCATGTTGTTCAGCATGGAGAGGGGGGTTGTGGTACCTTGCATGCAAACAGCAGACTAGCCCAAATCAGACCCAGTGCAGCTGTGCAGAAGACAAAACCATATACCAACTCCAGCGATTCAGAGAAACACTGGTATCTTCTGTTTCTGATTCAGGAAGAAATTTCCATTGCTGCCTCTTTGTATTTGCACTCCAAGATAGTTTGAGATGTCACAGAAAAGCTGTGCAAACATCCAGATGTTGAACATACATTTTCTTGTAAGCTGCGACAGCTAGGAGAGTTCTGATGGTTGTATGAGTGACTACTCCAGCAAAAGTTTAATTGTAGTCCTCACCATACTTTTGAGTATAAGCTTTAGAAACAAGTCTTGCTTTGTATCTTTGAATCTCCCTTTCTGCATTTAACTTTGTTGTAAAGACCCATCTACAGCCAATTGTTCTTTTTCCTTCTGGCAATTCTGACAAAGTCAATGTCTTGTTTTTATATAAAGATTGCATTTCCTTGCTAGCACCTTGAATCCACTTCTCAGAATCTGTCTTTGGCAGTCCCTTGATCATTTCCCAACCTTCTCACCTGGATTTGGATACCTGGATCTGCTTTTTGCATGCTGTCTGGTTCCTCATAGTTAGCTGGTCCACTGCAGGTGTAGCCCCTTCTGCATGCAAGACCTCTGGAGGATGAAAGAACTCCATGTTTTTTGGTAGCTTCTGGGAGTCTTTTTCTTCTGCAAATAAATCTTGATAAGCATTTTGGTTTTGATTAGATTTAGACTGTGATCTTTAATCAATATAAACAACACTTGTTAATTGTACTGTGTGTCCATCTGGATTTAGAATTCTGGAACCATTTCTAGCATAACCAACAAAAATTGTCTCTTCACTTCTGCAGTCAAGTTTGCCTCTTTTCTGTTTGGGAATATAGCTAAATGCTTTGCTTCCAAAAACCTTAAGATGGTTTAATTTAGGCTTAACTCCATGCCATAATTGGAATGGGGTAACATCTTTTGATTGGCAGTCAGTTACACAGGTATGTAGCAGTCATGATGGCTTCAGAACAATAGCATTTAGTGTTCAAAAGCATAGTGATGGCCATCTTCTTGAGAATTCTTTTTATAAAATTAAGTTTTATTAATTTTAAAAATAAACATTTAAAACATTTACATACATTAATTCACGTTCAGTTCATACATTCAACACACATCTATACATACATGTTTATATATTTTCCCATATATCTGTCTACAATTCACAAAACATGAATATAAACAGAAGCATACTTCTATTATATGCCAGTTTTGTTGCATTCTTAATCTTCTATTACACACAGATTTTTATGAAAGAAAAGTGGTTGGGGTAAATTGCCTTCCACTGCCTGCTTAACTATATAACATTTCTCTATCACTATCTTCTTTCTTCACTTTTATAATTACAGAACACTAACTTTTCCATCTTCTTTCTTTCAATCATTCTTTGAATGAGCTTCTCTTACTGCTATCCTAGGCCTCTTATCCAATTGTTTCCCATTCATCTATATAATGATAATAATAATAATTTATATCCCGCCCCTCTGCAAATGCAATCGGGGTGGCTTACAACAATAAAATACCACAATATGCAATCCCCAAAACCCACCCACCCTTAATAGTATTAAACATCAAAGATTAAAACAGTAGAATACAACAAACAATTAATTAACTAAAACGAAAACATAATGGCAGGTGACCAGCAATTAGTATAGTGGGGGGGGGAAGGCATGAACTCGCTCCTTAGGACTCACTCCTTAGACTGGGAAACTAATCAGGAAAGGCCTGCCAGAAGAGATCGGTCTTCACAGCTTTTTAAAAGCTGTTTAAGCTGGTAATCTGACATATCTCATCCGGCAGGCCATTCCATAATCTGGGAGCAGCTGCTGAAAAGGCCCTCTGGGAGTTTGGAGACAGCCTGGTTTTAATAGGCTGAAACAAATTCCTCCCAGAGGACTGACGTGCATGGGGTAGGATTATATGGAAGGAGGCAGTCCCGAAGATAAGTTGGACCCAGCCGTATAGGGCTTTAAAAGTCATAACCAACACCTTATACTGAGCCTGGAAACTGATTGGCAGCCAGTGGAGTGTTTTTAGAACAGGTGTAATATGGTCTCTCCTAGATATCTCGGAGACCAACTTGGCTGCCATATTCTGTACCAGTTGAAGTTTCCAGACTAAGCATGAGG